GTCAGAACAACTAGCTTCTCCCCGAAGGTGTGGGGAGAATGGGGATTAAATTAAAGGCCCAGATTTGCTCTGCTTACTCCTTGGGTCTCAGTGGTCAGACCTGGGCTGAGGCCAGCTCTTACCAGCTCTTTTCTCTCTCTCCCTCTCTCTCTCTCTCTCTCTCTCATTTATTTATTTTTAATTCTTCAATGTCACCACATTCTTACCAGCTCTTAAGAGGCGAGTATTGAATTTTCAGAAATACTGCAAGTCAGTTGTTAAACATAGCCATTACTAAAATTAAATACATCAACTTACAGTTAAACAGATTCATTAACATGGGTAATAAATATTCAGAACTCATCACTTCCTAATTATTTGTCTACATTTCTGTTATCTGTACTCTTGAGGCTGTTTGCATCCATTCTCTCCGAATGGTGAAGACACTGCATAATGTGTAGTGGCGTTCTGCTACACATCAAATTCTAACTCCGCATTCCGTGATATGTCAATAGCTTGAACTTGACTGTGCTGGGAAGTATTTATACAACAGAAATTGGCAAACACTACAGATCAGGGCTGTTTTCTCCTGGACGGCCAGTTAAAATTTTATCAGCATACCACTGGATCTATATCATCTAACTCAGAGGTCCCCAACCTTTGTGGCACGAGGGACTGGCGCTCCTCTGAGAATCTAATGCCTGAAGATCTGAGGTGGAGCTGAGGGGGTGATGCTAGCGCTGGGGAGCGGCTACAAATACAAATGAAGCTTCAGTTGTCCGTCTGCCGCTCACCTACTGTGTGGCCCAGTTCCTAACAGGCCATGGAGTGATACTGGTACCACGGCCCAGGGGTTGGGGACCCCTGATCTAACAGATCCTGGAACATGGGTGGACATCTAGTGACATTATGACCAGTTTAGATGTTTCCTGATCTTATTAGTTATATGTGTGAATTCAGAAGTTATTTTGGCATTCTTATGCCTTCCACTCCAGATTTGTATATCCTTTCTCCCAAGTTCACCCCTTGTCATCTGCAGATATAGATGACAGACATTCAGGGGTTAACCAGCCACCCCATTTTCACCCACCCACAGAGGTGCATCTCTGACCAGGAGACCCAGGGTCCGGTCTTGGTTCAGGCACACTCTGTTTCTGGTCTGAGAATGGGCTGTTGTCTCTATGGGCCTGGGACCCGGTGGGCCCTAATCTCTCAGGCCTTGCCTCCCACAGTGAACAAATGGAAGAAGCTGTACTCGGTCCCCCTGCTGGCCATCCCCACCTGTGTCGGTTTTGGCATTCACCAGGACAAGTACAGGTGAGTCACCTCACTTGCCTCCCACCTCACTGACCCCTTCTTTCTCGTTCTGTCATGTGCCCAGGTGTGGCTGGGACCCTGTAGCCATTGGCCAGTTAGTGGCTTCCCCTCCCTGCTTCGAGCCAGGCTGACCCCCCAGCAATCAGAACCTATAATCTTGCCGGGGGACAGGACCTCGTAGACACCCAGCTGCAACCCATCCTTGGTGGCCTGTATTCCACCCCCTCCCATGGTCATCTCTCCCACCTGCTGGGCTACCCATGTCTTCCAGGTTCTTGGTGTTTCCCATGCTGGGGAGACCCCTTCAGTCAGCCCTGGATGACAGCCCGAAGCATGTAATGTCCACGCGGTCTGTGTTCCAGATGGCCTGCCGGCTGGTACGTTACCTGGGCGTGCTGGCTCCCGTCCAAGGGATGACACACAGGGTCGTAGTTCATCAGTCTGTTTGTTCAATGACACATTCAGCCCACGCCGCCTCCTGCTGGACACTGTGGATCCAGGGGATGGCACAGCGGGTCGTAGTTCATCAGTCTGTTTGTTCATTCAGCCCACGCCGCCTCCTGCTGGACACTGTGGGGGGCCAGCACACTGACACAGGTGAACCCATTAGAACCAGAGTAATAAGCATTATCGTGAGGGGTATTCAGAAGGCCATGGGAGTGGAAGGAAGGGGCCTCAGCCTCAAATTGAGGGGTTTGATCACGCATCCCAATGGAGGTTTTTTTCTAAGGTGCCAGGTGGAGTGGGAATGGAGATATGTGAGAAGAATATTCCAGGCCAAGGATGCGACTTGGGCAAAGGCTTGTATGGGAGAGAGAGTGTGAGGCGTTGGTTTGTTCATTCCTTCATCCGTCCTTTCATTAAATATTTATCAGGTCCCTGCTGGTGTCAGGCACCGTCCCAGGGGCCAGGAGGACGGTGGAAAGCAGCACAGACACGGTCGTTACATCTGGTGGGGGAGGATGGTGTCACACAGTTGCACGGGTTGTGAAAAGTGCTCTGAATAGAAATGTCCCCTGCTGTGTGGAGGGGAAGAGGGCCCAGTCGAAATGCAGGAGGGCCGGAAGTGGTAGCGGAGTGACGTGTTAGGTGAGTCCCAGAGTGTCTGCAGTGTGACATGTAGAGTAGAAAAGGGTAAGAAATGAGGTTGGTGTGGAGAGGTCAGCAGTAACCAGATCACACAGAGCCTCAGACACCAAGCTGAGGAGCCGGCACTCTGTCCCGAGGGCACTGGGAGGACTGGGAGCAGGGCAGGTAGGTGCAGGGTCAGCTCCGGGTGTGGGCCATGTGGGGAGGGACTGGAGCGAGTGAGGTGGAGGCCACGTGAGGTCAGCATAAGGACAAGGCCTGAGGAGGAGCCAGGCTGCAGGAATGGAGAGTTTGTAGGACAAGCAGAATTTGTTTGACAGTTAAGCCTTGGGTTCAAGGGGGCCTTAGGGGTGCCATTAGGATGTAACTAACACCTAGGCAGTTTAATATTAGAGTCTAGTGCTCAGTAGAAAAGTCAGAGCTAGAGATAAAAGTATAAATTGCTTAACTAAATTGATTTCTGCTCTTTAGAAGAAATGAGAAGAAGCCTGATGTACAGGAGTCTTGGGTTTTGGGGTTTTTGTTTGTTTGTTTTTTTGCAGGAAGCAGTAAGTACCCAACATCTCCTCCTCCCGAGTTTGCAATCAACTAAAAAATAGATGCAAGAGATAAATAGAAAACCAAATATTAGCTTTAATGCTGAATATTTTTAAAGCCTAATTGGAAGACGTGGTGAGGTGTGCCATAGAGTGGGCTTCCTAATGTGTCACCCAGAATCAGGCTTAACCCGCCCACCCTCGGTCACATGCAGAGCCACACGATCCCAGGCCTAGCAGTAGGGATTCATTCACGGAGCTGCTTGCTTTCTTTCCCAGCTGGATGCCCTGGAGTTCCTCCATGAGAATGAGTATGTTCATGGAAATGTGACAGCTGAGAATATCTTTGTGAATCCAGAGGACCTGAGCCAGGTAATAGCCAGGTCCTCCCCATCCTGGGGGTTTTCTGGGCTCCAGGTATCATCTGTCTGAAAACTTCCATTTGTTTTACAATGCTATTGCAGACAAACGATTGCTTTCTATCATATATAAAGAGCTTCTTTGAATAAGAGATAAGCAAATTAGTGGGAAAATGGACAAATGATAGGAAAAGTAGTTCCTAGAAAAACCCACAGGTTAGTTAAATATCTGAAAAGATGATAAACCTCCCTAAAAATTATAAAAACGGAAATTATTTTCACCCTTTAGTGAAATTAAAAAATATTTTAAAAAATGGTGATATATATTGGTGATAAGAATGTAAGGAAATAGAAATTCTTTATATCTTGTTGGGCAGCCTTTTTGTAAGGAAACTTGGATACAGTAGTCAAAATTTTGTATGCACCAGTTCCTTAGGGTTATATCCTATTTATATATTCATAGCATTGTTCTAAGGTATATGTATAAAATGTCCCTGACAACGTTGATTGTAATAAGAAGACCTTAAATATATATTCTCGGTAGAGTACTGATTAAATAGTGTTTTAAAATAAATTTTAATTGCTCTTTCAACTGCAAATGACAAAAACTCAATTTAACATGACTTAAGTAAAAAAATTAAAAAAGGAGAGAGGGAGTTTATCGGTCCATGGAGTGGAAAAATCCAGGACTGACTTTAGGCATGGCCGAATCCAGGGACGCAAGCCCTGTCTTGGGAAACTGGTCCTTCCATCCCTGTGCTCCTCTGGTTGGTGCATTGCTCACTGTCAGGCAAACTCTCTTCCCTTTTGGTGACAGAATCACCACCAGCAAATCAGGCTTCAGTCCCCTCAGCTCAGCAACCCAGTGGCAATGGGTCAGGAGAGCCCCACCTCAGTTACGCGGACTGAGAGTTGAGAGAGGTGATCCCAGAGAAAAATCCCAGAACTATATTAGAGCGCCCTAGAGAAGCAGAACTAACAGAGTGTGTGTGTGTGCGTGCGCACACATTTACAGAAAGGTTTATGGTAGAGAATTGGCTCACACAGTTACGGAGGGTGTGAGTCTCAAGATCTGCACTTGGCAAGCAGGTGACCCAGGAGAGCTGACGGCGTAGTTCCCGTCTGAAAGCTGGCAGACTTGAGACCCAAGAAGAACCAAGGTTTCAGTTCAAGTTCAAGGCAGGAAAAGACCAGTGTTCCAGCTCCTGCAGTCAGGCAGGAGGTGTTCTTGTCACTCAGCCTTTTTGTTCTATTCAGGCCTGCCACTGACTGCACGAGGTCCATCCACATTCGGTACTTAGAATATGACTTACATAGAATATGATTTCAGTGTTAATCTTCTCCAGAAACACCTTTGCAGACACACCCAGAATATTATTTGGACAAATGTCTGGGCACCCTGTAGCCCAATGAGGTTGACTCGTAAAATTAAATATGGCAAACTGTGACTAGAGGAAAAGGATGTAAATTGTGGACAAAAGCAACAGTCATCCATTATCCATACAGCAGAAAACCATGCAGCATTAAAAAGTAGATGTGGCTAACTGTGTGTGTCTGGCGGATAAGCACTTTACTTTTTGTTAAGCCTCATAATCCTGCAAGGTGGGCACTGTCATTGTCTTCATTTTACAAATGGAAAAATCAAAACATGAAGAAGTTTCATAACTTGCCCAAGGTTGTACGGCCACTAAGGGCCAGGCCATCATTTGAACCTGATCTGACTCTGGCGTTTATGCCCTGAACCACTATTAAAATGCAAAATGCTGAGAGCCTGACAGGAAGTAGAGCGCAATCACTCCGCAGAAAACTAGAGCCCCTTCCTGTCCACACGTGCTTACCGATTTCCAAGAAAACAATTGGGAACAACGCATAAGAAACTGCTATTGTATTTGTCGTTAGTGTATTTATTATTATTACTCATTTATTGTTTACTAGTATTAGATTACTTCTGGGTGGTGGGTTTATGGGGCTGGGGAGCAATAGGGACAGATGGTTTGGGTGCTTTTCACTTCACATCCTTCTGTACTGTTTAACATTGGTTATTTCAGATTGTACCCACGATTTAAATCTCTGACTCCAGAGTCCAAACCCCTAATCTCCAGACTGTTCAGCTCCTCCCAATGTCCACACAGGTGATCCTGGGAGGCTACGGCTTCGCCTTCCGCTATTCCCCAAGTGGCAAACACGTGGCCTACGTGGAAGGTAGCAGGAGCCCACATGAGGGAGACCTCGAGTTCATTAGCATGGACCTGCACAAAGGATGTGGTAAGAGGCCCGGGAAAGGGTTCGGGGACTGTGCAGACATGCTTCTCGTACAGGGGCAGCCCTAGGTCTTCACAGCCACGCACAGGGTGACCAGACACTGGAGTCATGCTTCAGAAGCCACAGTAGGGATTCAGAACCGCGGGTAGCGTCCTCGAGCACTAGGGAGTTGCGAGTAGTGGTTCAGCACCAAGGACAGAGGGCTGCTGGGCATAAGGCGGCCCTGCAGGCCTCGAGGTTCACATTCAGGTTCTGGTGTAGACTTGAAACATAAGCATTGCCCAAGAGTCATCCCAGAGATGCTGTTGAAGGAGCAGTTGGCTGTTCATGTCTGGAACACAGAAGTCAAGTCTGGACAGAGATTCAGGTGTCTGCAGGATCTCGGGAGTTGTCAGCTCTAGTCCTGGGAGAGGAATGGGATTTTTCGAGGAAAATGTATGGAATGCAGAGAGAGCCCAGGGCAGATTCCTTAAGGAGGTCTCAGCCCCTTTCCCAAACCCCTTGATATTGAGGCCACCTACGTGCCTGCCCGCGTTCTCAGCAGACAGCTCATCCAGGGAAGGGATGGTGCCTGTGCCCCAAGCATCAGGTGGCAGAAGGTCTGGCACAGTCAACTCTCAGTGTTTGTTGAATGCTTACACGAATTGTCTAAATCATGGCATTTAGGAAGCATAAGAAAAATAAAACCCAGTGGTCTCCTTTGCTTCCCTACCGGGGCTGTATCCTGTGCTCCTCATGCCTTGTTCTGCTTTCTCCATAGCTCAGGTCATCCCGCAACATAACCATGTCCCCACTAGAAGTGAAGATCTATGACCCAGACTCTTCTAGAACTGGAGAATGGGATGGGGCCTGGTACACAGGGCTCTGAGGGCTCATTGAATGAATGAGAACGTGAATGAAAGACAAGTAGACGAGACTGTGAGCTAGCGAAGCAGGGATGAAGGGGCGGCTGAGAGGGCGAGAGTGAGGAGTGAAAGGCGAGAGCCGTGGTTTGGGTGGTTGAGTGCGTGAGCGCGTAGTTGAGTCAGTGAGAGAGAGAGGCAGGGAGTGGACGTGTCAGTGAGTGAAGCATCTGGACTGAGCGACCACCTTTTTCCCTCCCTCCCCAGGGCCCTCCCGCCGCAGTGACCTCCAGGCCCTGGGCTACTGTTTGCTGAAGTGGCTTTACGGGACCCTGCCATGGACAAACTTCCTTTCCAGCATTGAGGATGTCATGAAGCTGAAACAGAAGTGAGTCTGGGGGTCC